TGTTTTCTGCTGCTCCAGAGAAGCGGACACGGAGCAATGGATCCAAACTACAAGAAAGAAGATTCCACCTAAACATTAGGAAGAACTTCCTGACAGTAAGAGCTGTTCGAAAGTGGAATTTGCTGCCAAGGAGTGTGGTGGAGTCTCCTTCTTTGGAGGTCTTTAAGCAGAGGCTTGACAACCATATGTCAGGAGTGCTCTGATGGTGTTTCCTGCTTGGCAGGGGGTTGGACTCGATGGCCCTTGTGGTCTCTTCCAACTCTATGATTCTATGATTCTATGATTCAATAAGTTCTGGGTAAACACTGTTCTCTTCTTCAGTGGGGTTGTTCCATGACAGATCACCACAATTTTTGGGTGGGTTTCTGATATTTGCCATGGAACAACTCCAGTGAAGAAGCTAACAGTGGTTACCCAGACTTCGTTGCTGGTTGTGAAGAGTCCTCCCTAACAGTTCAAGCTTCAGGGCCCCCAAAATGTATGTCCACCACTGTATGTGCTTGAGGGTAGAGTTGCAGAGATTGTGAGGTGGGTCAGTTGCTGAGACGCAAGGCATCTAGATACTTAAAAGAGTATGGACACAAGCCCATTTCATCTCACAACACATGGCAGCTTCCGAATGCACATTCCACTGGCTTCCACCCACGAACGTCCATCAGCTTCCACCAGATCCATTGTCCATCAGCTAGATTCCAGTCATGGATATCTGCTGCCTTCAGTCTGCAAATTGGCTGACCACTCTCCTATGCACATTCCAGCAGCTTTCATTACCAAACTTGCCTCCGGTGCATGAGACACATCACCCTGCCGAATGATCACCTGCTTACATGTGCCAAATCATCTCCTCCACATTACGGCATCCCTGTAATCTGCCTGAGAGAGATAGGCAGAATGGGTATTTCAATGTGGCTCATAATAAGCTTATCAAGGAAGGCATCTTTGCCATCTGGATAACAGACAGCACACCTATGGAGAAGAGGTTCCCATGGTTTAAGCATTCTTGGAAATCCTTGACTAGGAAGAAGACCTAGTGATGCTGATCAGCACATCCATTGTCCATGGTGTTCTTTTAGGGAAGAGCAAAAGGGGAATAGAAAGAAGACCTAGCAAGGAGAAAGGGAGCTGTCCTCGCATTGCCTAATAAGCCTTGTTGTGGTTCTTTTCATTGCTGGCTTCAGATAACTCTGGAAGGCACACATAAACACACATGGTGACTGGGACAGCTCATCTGCTGCCGCCCTCCAGCATTACCCAACCATATCCACTGGCTTCCATCTGGCAATATCATCCTCTAGCTCCTGCCTGCCAACTTCCACTGGCTTCTGCTCACTAATATCCACTGCTTTCCTTCCATCTACCACATTCCCTCAGCATCTGGAGGCTCACCTCTGCCAGTCTCTGAAAACACACATACACCAACATTCCCATTGACTACTTCTGTTGCCTCCCATATATTAACACAAACACACCTCAGAACATTCAGCAGCAACCAACCACTCCATCAGCCGCTCTCCTATCCATTCACATATGTGTTCCAACCTCAATCCATGAATATTCAATGAGCTTCCATCAGCTCAGTTCCGAAGGCAAACTTCCCCTAGCTTAAATCCACAAATATCAGCCAGCTTCAACCTTGGGACATCTTTCAACTTCCAAATACGCACTCCATTAGCTTCTGTCCACTAACATCCACCAGCTTCTCCCAAATCCATCACCCAATATCGGTCAGATTCCAGCTGTGCGTTTCTGCTAGTTTCAGCCTGAAACTCACCACTCCTATATGCAATTCCACTGGCTTTCGCTAGTGAACTTTCACCTCCTCTGCCATGAGCCACATGCCACTTCCAGATGATTGCCTGCTACAATCTGACAATTTGTCTCTTCCAAGCGGTGTCACCCCCACACATAGATGTCAACGTTTCCCTTTTTTTAAAGGGAAATTCCCTTATTCCGAATAGGATTCCTCGCAAGAAAAGGGAAAAGTTGACAGCTATGCCCCCACAATCTGCCTGCAAAAGAAAGGTGGAACAGGCACATTAAAAATAATGCAGGGGCAGCTGTGTTTCTACCTACCAGATAACTTATAGCACACCCAAGAAGAGGTTCTTATGACTTACATGTTCTTAGGAATTCCCACTTTGCCCAACAATGGAAGAAGCTGTTGCTGTCAGAACTCTTCCTCCTTTGTATTCCAAAATGGTACTAGACTATTTTCTGTGCTGGGTAACCTAAACATTATCCCATTGCCTCAAACATTTACTTGACTGCTGGTTTCTGCTGATGATCAGCATTTGATGCCAATCCTGGCCCAACTGCACTGGTGACCGCTTCTGGACCCAATTCAAAGCGCTGGTGCTAACCTATAAAGCCACACACAGCTCAGGACCTCAATACCTTAAGGACTGCCTCTCCCCATACGAACCAACACTTGTCATCCAAAGGCCTTCTCTATGGGAGGTTTGGAGAGCGACAAGAGAATCGGCCTTTTCTGTGATTGCTCCCCATTTGTGGAATGCTCTCCCCAGAGAGGCTCACCTGGTGTCACCATTATATGACTTTAGGTGCCAGGTGAAAATATTCCTCTTTAACCAGGTCATTAAACAATCAATAGCCTTTTAAAAGTGGGCAGACTGTTACTGTAATTTTTTTCTGTGATTTTTTTTATTGTTCTTTATTATCATGCTATATAAGTTAAATGTTTAATGTTGTACACCACCTTGAGAACTTCAGAAAAAGGGTGCTATATAAATTGAATAAATGAATGTACAAATAAATAAATAAATAAATAAATAAATAAATGATGATGCAAAAAAGCTTGTAATTTGATTTTATGTGCTTATTTTCCCCAGACCCAATCTCTCCTTGGCCCTTTCTTTTGTAATGGATTTTCTATCAGATTGCTCTAATCATGGCTTTCATTGTGGACTGCCCTAAAACCTGGCTGAGATCTCATCCATGGCAAAACTATGCTAATAACCCATATAATATCCAGGTTGCCTGTCTCCACAGGAAATCATCCTTTATTAAAATGTTCCACTGGAAACTAATATAAACTTCTACTGAACTATTCTTACATTAAATCCATAGTGGATGATTTAATACTAGCCGGTGCCACTGAGCTGTGAATTCTCTTGCCTCCCCTGTCCCACTTCAGTTCCTTATTCCATACAAAAAATGTATTATGTATAACTTGTTGTTTAGTCGTTTAGTCGTGTCTGACTCTTCGTGACCCCATGGACCAGAGCACGCCAGGCTCTGGTCCATGTACAACTTAGTTTGCCATTAAATTATTGTATTTGCCATTAAATTATTGCATTTGGTGTCAGAACACGCCTGGGGGGCACATGCAGCCCCTGGAATGAAACAAACCTCTCTGGGCGTCTTTCTGATGCAGCGCAGTCTGGGACTTCCATAAATCTTCAGTCCCAGCATGCACCAGCGACACATATCAGAAGACCATGTGCACGCTCTTTCAGCAGAGCATAGCAGAAACAATCGTGGAGTGTGAGTGTAGCATTCTAAGTATTTATTAAGCAATATATATAGGACAAAGCAATAATGGCGACCTCTCAGTTCTCCAAGAGAGAGAGAGTAAAGAAAAGTACAAAAGTACAGTACAGCGGAAGAGAGATAAGACTGACTTCCATTCTCACCCTTTCCAAGCCTAGAAAGTAAACACTGACATGTGATGTAACAATCACACATCCAGCAACGGGGGAGTGAAATGCTAACATCTGGTATATTAAAAATATAATTTAGTCAGTCAATAATTACAAAAAGAATTATTATTTTTGTTAGCAATGGAGCTATAAGTTGAACACTTTCATTTTGCCAGTTTATGAGGAGCTGGCAAAAATCAATAAACACAGGAGAAACCATAAACATTATAGAAAAAAAATATTCTGAAAATTATAATGGGTTGTATTTAACCAAGTTTTGCTCAAAGCAGAACCACTGAAATTAATGGACCTAAGTCTGTCATGTCTATTCACTTCTGTGGGTCAAGCCACTGCTTGTGCTCTGTTGGTATGGATCACACACCAATCCAGGTTTAAGCTTTAAAGAGCAGGTTTTCGCAGGGAAAGCTCCAGAGCAAAAAAGGGTGCTTGGACACAGAGCTTTAAATCACAAACCATGCCTGAAAGGTTAAGACAAAATGTAAGTGTGGATAATGTTGTGGAGTGTAGGAGTGATCTTTTTAAAAAATCAATTTTCCGGTCAGACCCTCACTCACCCAAGTTGAGGATATTCCAACATTCTTCAGCAGAGTTTACCGTATTTTTCACTCCATAGGGAGCATCGGACCATAGGGCACACCTAGTTTTTAGGGGGGGAAATAAAGGAGGAAAAAAAATTCCCTCCCCCAGGTCCAGGAGCGGCGGCAAGATTGCGCACAACCTCTTGCGGGGCTGGGGGCTGGGGGCTGGGGGTGGGGAAGCCCAAGCTTCCCCCGACCCCAGCTCCCAGAACAGGCAGCTATCCGCAAGCCTTCCGAGCGCAGCAGGAACTCCCGCCATGCTCCGAAGGCTTGCGGATGGCTGCCTGAAGCCCGGCGAGCGCAACGGGAATTGGCGCTGCGCTCGCCAGGCTTCAGGCTGCAGCCTGCTATCCGCAAGCCTTCGGAGCACTCCGAAGGCTTGAGGATAGCTGCCTGAAGCCTGGAGAGCGAGAGGGGTCGGTGCACCGACCCCTCTCGCTCTCCAGGCTTCAGCGAAAGCCTGCATTCGCTCCATAAGACGCACACACATTTTCCCTTCATTTTTGGAGGGGGAAAAGTGCGTCCTATAGAGCGAAAAATACGGTATTTTATTTCAGCAAAGTGAAACATAATAGCATACTGCCTGAGAGAAACTAAAGCAACATCATGAGGCAAGAATGACAGCTGGCCTCTCTAACTGAACTTAAGTGAACACCCGAGGGGAGGGGCTGATTCTGGAGCACAATGCAAAAGCCCCACCCACCAGATGCCAGACATTCTACTATTCAAATTAGGCCCCAGTGTTTTTCTAACAGATAAGCCCTAACTTGTTCCATTAGTATGAGTTCCACTTGTACAAGGGAACTTCCTCCTCTCTCCTCTCTCCTCTCTCCGCATGGTGGGAACCAGTTATAAGTCAAAAGAAACAGTTGAGAAGAGAGTCAGGTGATCAGAACCCAAGAAGAAGCTAGACCCAGTAAATGTTATTGTAGCCCAAATCAACTCTCAGCCTAGGTGGGTGGAATCACTCTGGTAATTGGAAGCCATCTACAGTCTAGGAGAAATACTCCAAACTTTAGCTCTGGTGGCTTGCCACAACAGTCAGCTGTGCATCAGTTTCCACTACTAGCTTCTCACAAAGGGATATAAGCGTCATTCTGGAACATGTCCCAATTCTTATGGTAAAACATGGGGGTTTCTTGGCTGACAAATCAATGTGAAAGAGTTCCCTGAGGATAAAAAGCATGAAAATGAATAGTCTAGGTCAGGGGGGTCCAATGCAGCACCCTCCAGACGTTGTTGAACTACAGCTCCCATCAGCCTCAGCCAGTGTTTTTTTTTGGGGGGGACGCAGGGGTATGCATACCCCTAAACATTTTGTGAATCTTTGTACTTTTGTTCATTTACTGTATTTATTTTCCCCGATTTGAACTATAAAATGGTGGTTTTCTTGAGTCAAAATGAGAGTACCCCTAAACATTTTTTTGGGGGGGGGGGAGTACTGGCCTTGGCCAGTATGGCCCGTGGTTGGGGGTTATGGGAGTTATGGTCCAACACTATCTGGAGGGCACCTGGCTGACTATCCTAGTCTAGGTGATTGACATAAAATATACATCAGTAGAGAATCAGGCCGGCACATCTCTGATGTATGAAATTAAAGCATTGCCCTAAGTAATAATAGAAAGCTTTAATTATTGTAAATTAGTTGTGGCTGTACTACTGTTGTCTGCCTAGAGCTTCGTAGTTGGGGGTAAGCTAGAAGAACTGAAATGGCCGAATTATTCATTTATGTTTCATGCTGTGGATTAGAATGTGATTAGATTTCTCTCCAAACTAGAGACACTGCTAGTATTGAGTTGCACCCAGGGGTTCTTGGCTTCAGCATTTAATTTGCCAGGCATCGCTCTGTTGAATTTCACCACCACCACCCCCCATTCAGTCAGATGTGAAATAGTATGCCATAATCACAATTCCATCTTGAGCCATAGACAGTCTTTTGCAAATGAAGAATGCAAGACTGGGTATAGATTATTCACTACACTGCCAAACTGAAGCAAGTCTTGCTTTGAGAGCAAACTTGCTTGCATTCCCCTAAACACCTTATTTGCTTTCTAAAGCTCAAGTGTCTATCCATTCTTTTATTTTTTGGAATGAAGCAGGGGTCTGCAAAATAAACGTTTTCATTTTGTAATTCATTTAATTTTGCTTCTTAAAGACTTCATTCATTTTGTTATTAATTCATATCACATTAGTTTTCATTCATATTTTTATTTGTTTGGGTTTTTTGCTGCCCCTGGTAACAGTGACATCAGGATTTTAGGAGGCAACAGTTGATTTTCCTGTCATGACCAGGATACTGCATCATTCTGGGACATTCTACAGAAAAAAATGGTGGTTCTTATTGGTGGCCATCATTATTTTGAGAATGCCTCAGAAGTATATGCCATGTGGGAAATTCAGGAAATTCAGGGGGAGGGAAACATGACTGGGGCCTCTTAAAAGAGTTAAACCCCAGCAGCCCTAAAGGACTGACAAAAGAGATAATGAAAACCAGCATCTGTACACATTTGTTACCCATGGCATTCTTTTATAATAATGGAAATTGAACCAAATTGGGTCCATTCACTTCCATGTTTAATTCATACCTGGTGGAGGTGTCAGGTATTGAACCTTGGGGCATGCTGCATGCAAAGGAAGTGCTCTATCACTGAACTATGACACTCCCTTTACATTTGTCATTGCTGAAGTTCAGTTTCTATCCACTCAGCCCCACAACAGATCATTTTAAATTTTTAGTCTATACCTGGTACAGCAACAAAATCCCTTTGAAGACATTCAGTGTGCTTCTAGCTATTCATACCCGAAGGAGTATACCCTGAAGGAGTGTCTCCACACCCAAAGTTCTGCCCGTACACTGAGATCCAGCTCCGAGGGCCTTCTGGCAGTTCCCTCCCTGCAAGAAGCGAAGTTACAGGGAACCAGGCAGAGGGCCTTCTTGGTAGTGGCGCCCGCCCTGTGGCCCTCCCATCAGATGTCAAAGAAATAAACAACTGACTTTTAGAAGACATCTGAAGGAAGCCCTGCTTAGGGAACTTTTTAATGACTGATGTTTTAATGTATTTTTAATCTCCTGTTGGAAGCCGCCCAAAGTGGCTGGGGAAACCCAGCCAGATAGGCGGGGTATAAGTAATGTTGTTGTTGTTGTTGTTGTTGTTGTTGTTGTTGTTGTTGTTGTTGTTGTTGTTGTTGTTGTTGTTCTTCTTCTTCTTCTTCTTCTTCTTCTTCTTCTTCTTCTTCTTCTTCTTCTTAATGGAGGAGGGTTCTCTATCCCCTGATGGCAAGTCCTGCCTGCTCCATACACCTCACGTTTGGACTTCAGTATGTGCATTTATTTCCATGCAAAAGGTTCAGCCAGTATGGTGTAGTGGTTAAGAGCGGTTGACTAGTAATCTGGTGAACCGGGTTTACTTCCCCGTTCCTCCATACGCAGCTGCTGGGTGACCTTGGGCTAGTCACACTTCTCTGAAGTCTCTCAGGCTCACTCACCTCACAGAGTGTTTGTTGTGGTGGAGGAAGGGAAAGGAGAATGTTAGCCGCTTTGAGACTCCTTCGGGTAGTGATAAAGTGTAGCTCTGAAATGTAGTGGGGTGGCTGCTTGCTTTTTTGTACAAGCACCCCATCTAATCTCCACAATTTCCCCCTAACCTTGTGCTACATTTCAGAGGTGCTGCACAGAGTCAAGAACCTGCCTCTTAGGGGAACAGGATTATGGGGAAAGGAGATAGAGATTTTGTTGGCCAGAAAGACAGCTGAAAATGGTTGGCCTTTGGTGTAGACCCATGAATTCATAGGCATGTTTTGCACGAGCTGCTCGCTCACTGTGATCTGAAGCACTTTGGAACTTGCTGGCTAACCCTCAGGCCATGTTGTCCTGATATTACTTGTGTACCTGACAAATCATTGATGCCTCTCCAGATTCTTTAGGCTCCCTTTGGCAGCTTCCTCTTGTCATTTATTTAAGCTGAGGGAAGTGAGCTGACACACGGCTTTGGCTTGGAAAGATTACATTATCCAAGTGTTGTCCTTGGCTGAGAGGCGCATTCACGATTTCCTGATAAAACAGTCAGCAATCACGATGCCAGGCCAGTGTTTTGGAATGCTTGGAGCCTAGATAAAAGACTAACAACTAAAACAGTGAAGTCAGAGCCCTTGGAAAGGAAGAGCAGATGGACTAGCTCCCCAGGGAATAAATCTCTGAGGATCCAGGGGCATCTGTGGAAACTGTTTCTTCTTGTGCTTACCCAACAGATCAATGGAGAAGAAAAGCGGGATATGTCTGAAGGATAATCATAAGGAAGGGACTTGGCTCTCCTAGAAGTGCCACACCCAGAAGTGTCCCGTCTAAATCAATGGCCGACAGACACCTTCCTTCTTTGCAATAGCTGCTTGCCTTCTCCCCTCCCTCCTGTTTTTAGTGTTGTACTATCATTGTTTTAATTCTGCTTTGATTGGCTGCCTTGAGCTCTGTCAAGGAAAGGTGGTGCGTAAATGGCTTGAATAAATAAATAATGGCAAATTGGAGCCTGAAATGAATCAGCTGATTTGCAAGGGGCTAGTGGGCGAAGATTTATGGCGTTGGGCCTTTTCATCTCATCCAACTTGGTGGAGTCCTTTTAGTAGTAGGTGTCTCATTGCAGTGATGACATGAACCAGTGTGGTGTCGTGGTTGGAGTGTTTAAATAGGACCTGGGAGCCCAGGGTTCAAATCCTCACTCACCCATTAAACTCACTGGGTGATCATTGGGCCAGCCACCATCTCGTAGCCTGATCTACCTCACAAGGTTTTGTGAGGAGAAAATGGAAAGTGGGAGATGTGTGTATGCCGCCTTGAACTCCTCGGAGGAAAAGTGGGATATAAATATCAGAGATTAATAAACAGACAGACAAATAAATAATGCAAGTGGGCCTGAAGTATGAGGCAAACCCAAATACGCTGAGTTTGTTAGCCAGCTTGAGATCAACACATCTCAAAAATTAAGCTGGCCAAATTTAGGTTACTTTCTATATTAAAGGAAGGTAAAGGGACCCCTGACCATTAGGTCCAGTCGTGACCGACTCTGGGGTTGCGGTGCTCATCTCGCTTTATTGGCCGAGGGAGCCGGCGTACAGCTTCCGGGTCATGTGGCCAGCATGACTAAGCCGCTTCTGGCGAACCAGAGCAGCGCACGGAAACGCCGTTTACCTTCCTGCTGGAGCGGTACCTATTTATCTACTTGCACTTTGACATGCTTTCGAACTGCTAGGTTGGCAGGAGCAGGGACAGAGCCATGGGAGCTCACCCTGTCGCGGGGATTCGAACCACTGACCTTCTGATTGGCAAGCCCTAGGCTCTGTGGTTTAACCCACAGCGCCACCCACTTTTTATATTAATGCATCTTTAATCCGAGCCAGCTCTGGAATGCAAGAAAACTTAGCCGTATGAATCGACACAAAGCCAACTAGCAAATAGCAATGATGTGAGAACTTTCCCACTGTGCTGAGTCACAGGTAAATCAGGTTCTCAGAACCATAAAATAAACAAAACAAAACCCTCTCAGCATTATTTTAAGCCATTTTTAATGGTGCTCTGTGTCTCACAGTTAGGATCCCCACAGAGAGTGCCTGTCTTGCTTTCCACTGCACTTCTTCACCAGAGGGAACAGCAGTTGGCCCTCTCAACATGCTGTCAGGTTGTATCATGTGTATAAGACTATCACATTTGAAGTGCATAATGCAATAAGAGGCTATTATGATGCACCTAACAAGATCCATAATATGAAAAGTATGTTTATAACCCAGCTGTATTGTCTTCACTTAATATCCTACAGCTACCATAATATCAAGAGAAAACTAAAAGAAAAAAGGACGGCCTCTACTCGGTGTTACAGCAAAGCACAGCAATATATATGCATCAAATTAAAAAAAATATTATTCAAAGGCTGCTGGGAAACACTTCTCTTGGTTGGCGTCAAGTGGAGCCTTGCTGTTGTGTTTATGATGTTAGAAACAATTCCTTTAGGAGAAATTGGGCTCAACAGAATTTGTTAAAAATGATCATATTCAAAATTGTGGAAACTGTTATTGAAGGAGAAGACCATAGGATAAGATCCGGTGTCTTACTACCAGAGATTGTTGTCAGAGGTTCTAAGGTTTATCCCTCACAGAACTACTCCAATGTGATTTTTTAAAATCAAAAGAATGAGAATTAAAGACCCTGGAGCACCTGGAAAAAACCTTTTAGTTCACCCAGGCTTTTGGCCCTTAATTTGAAAGGTACTTAGGTATTTTAGGCCTCTTTTTCTGCTTGTCTTTTTAGTGGGGTGGCTTGAGTTGGATCTACCATTTTATATATTGCTATAGGTTTTGAGTGCCTGAGTTTGTGGGTGCAACGCACCCTTACTGCCTACATTTAGTAAATGTTAGAATATAAGCAATACTTGTAGCAGTAAGAGAATGTGCCAGACATTGAATTTAGCAGTGTAAAAATACAGGCTAAACTTGTTTTTTTCCTGACCAGGGAATTACCTGGAAATAAGCCATTATGAAACAAAGACAGAGTCATGACCCATCAAGATTGGAAGAGACCCAAGGGTCATCTAGTCCAACCCCCTGCAATGCAGGAATCTCAGCTAAAGCATCCATGACAGATGACCATCCAACCTCTGCTTAAAAACCTCCAAGGAAGGAGCGTCCATTACCGCCCAAGGGAGACCATTCCATTGCCGCATCAGATGTAAATGGGGGGTATTTAGTAAGACAAAAGACCAGTAGTTTCTGTTTAGGACTACAGTTTGCCTGATGTAAGTGAACAGAGGAAAAGTGTCAGTTTTGCAAGCCAGAGGACCAGAGTACAAGGCAGGCTGTCTGTTTTATGCTGCAAAGAGGGTCAGACCCAATATTTGGGGTCTCTTGGAATCTGAGGCTGCAGCAACGGAAGGAACAGGACCCTCCGGGGATGTGAATGCTCTGCACTCTCTCCATCCTGGCTCAGGTTGTAGGTATGTATAAATAAACCATATATCATAAAGACACCACAGACTCTGCTGTGCCTCAGTGTTGCAAAGTGAAACACGTACCCTGGTTAGCGTGCCTGATAACCCTGGAATCCCATACCGCTCAGAGACTGGAGTAGAGTGCATTGTGGATGAGCAGTTTAAGTTCTTATTCTATTTTCATTTTTACACCTGATTTTAATACCTGCTGTTATTTTGTGAGATGCTTTGAGTCACTTTTGTGAAAAAAGTGACAAACACAATTCTAACTAACTAACTAATGGAGATCAGGAACTGTGTGTAGTGGAAGAGGCAGGCCTCCTTTTATACTCTAGGAGCGGACCTAAATGAAGCCTGCTGCTCAGTTGGGCCCGCCCTCTGGATGAGTGCCTGCCCTTAAGCCTGCTCGCCATTGGCCAATTTGGCAGCAGGCTTGAATTCAAACTTCCCGGCAGCTGGGGAGGCTCGTTTGGCCTTCCACCTCCTGGAAATCCTCCACCACGTCAAGCCTGTGTCAGATCAGCACCAGGGAAGGAGGCAGCCAACTTGCATTGCCACTGCACCTATTATGAGGTAAGCGGGCTTCGGCAGGGATGAGGAACACCTGTGGTTCTCCAGGTGTCTCCACAGTGGCAAAAAGAGAGAAGAGAGACAGAGAGAGATTTGGGAAGGTGGGTAGGCAGAAAGGAAGAAAAGGAAGTGTTTTGCCAACTTTGGCTCTAGCCCTACCAACCACAAGCTCAGGCCTCGCCCACAGAGGACCTCTGAAGGGTATGCAGCCCTTCAGCAAAAAAAGATCCCCCCAGCCATTTGCATGGATATGTTTAGAGCTAATGCAGTGATTCGTGATAAAAGCTAATACATATATTTATCTACTGTATAATATGCAATATAACCGTAGAGCTAATCATCATGAAAGCTCTATCTTACTCAACCCACTGTAGAAAATGACCCCTAAAAAGTGGGTGAGAACAGCCAAGTCTGTAGAAACAGGACCACAGGAAAGATCTCGTTATAAACAGATACATTTTCTCCCAGACCTTGAAATCTAATCTGTCGTTTCAAGGAAGAAAGCAAATAGAATGAATGTTCCCATTCTTATAGTCATATAATTCTGAAGAGCTCCTGCAGCATCCATATTTAATGTAGCAACTGGAAAAAAGAAACAGCACATTAGTGTTATGGCTTTGAGCTGCAATTAACCCATTAAGTCCACAGAAACAAGGCCAAAGGTCCCAGAAAAGCCACTAGAAATTTGCAAGAGGAAGAAAGGGTTATAAATCATAAAATAAGTTGGTTTCTGCTCTGACTGACAGACGAACAAGATATTTTAAAATGACATTGGTCTCAAGAACCAAAGTCTCAAAGATGTATTAATACTTCACCTCCCATCAGCCCCAGTCATAATGGCCAATAGTGAGGGAAGATGAGAGTGTAGTTCAGAAATGTCTAGAGGGCCACAAGTTCCCCATCGTTGCTTTAACATGGCAGAGATGTGAGCTAAATTATAGACTGACGGAACTGAGGAAAGAACTTGAAATAATTTAATAAATGCACATCTGTTACCTGATTAAAGAAATTTCAGCTAACTAATTGTGTGAGCTTTAATAGGCTAAATATCCATGCATTTGCATATAAATAAAATACTTATGAAGGGGAAGCTTTTATTATTTCTATATTGTGGTGGTGGTGATTTCATTTATATGCTGCTCTTCATGAAATAACACAGAGCGGTTTACAGAATAAAACCATACAATACAACAACTTCTAAATAATAATTAAAACACAAAACAGCTCAAAAGGATGGGCCATCCACACTTCTGTTTTTTCCATGATTTCAAGTTAGTTGTCTGGGAGTGTTTCTTCTCTCTCTCTCAGTGCTTTCTCTTGGAAAACCTGCTGTATACTGAATTGGAACAAACGTCAATCTGCAGAAAATATAAATGACATTTCTTGCAATTCAGCAGTAAACAGTGGGTTTTCTTGGGGAAAGTGATGGGACAAAACAACAACAACAACCCCATCTCAGGTGATGTGACTTAAAATCGCTTGAAATCATTGAACAAAAGTGTGGATAGGCCCTAACAGTGGCTTTGCAGAAAAAAGAAATAAAGAAATAAAGAAACTCAAAAGAGCAGTGTGTACGATGCTATAATCATCCTGTAACAACAAATGTAATACAGACTGCTTAGCAGTGCCCAAAGGTCCTGCTCTGCAAACAGGACAAAGATCCAAGTGTACAGAGATTTCACCAGCAACAGAGGTTTCGTAGATAAAACTGTGTGCATGTCACAGCAGGTGCATTGAGCCTCAAGCGACAACAAAGGATCCAGACGCACCGTCAAGCTACATACCAGCTTCCATCAAGAGCAGGCAACCTCCCATTTATCTGGATAACCACCCACTAACAATGCTTCGGTCTTATCTGGATTGAGCTTCAGTTTGTTGGCTCTCATCCACTCTATTACTGAAGCAAGACAACAGTCCAGCACATCCACCGCCTCACCTGCAGATGTAAAGGGAAAGTAGAGTTGTTTGTCATCAGCACATTGCTGACACCATACTCCAAAACTCCAGATGACCCCACTCAGCAGTTTCATGTAGATGTTAAATAGCATAGGAAATAAAATTGAGCCCTGAGGAACT